GCCATTAAGGGTCACTAAAGTCACCCAGACCACTTCATCTCAGCAATGCTTTCCAGAGGAAAGTCCCATGGGACTGAAACGTTGACCAATTGTGATACTACAAGCACTTTATGGAGATAAGTAAATATATGTTATGTTTTAATGAAGAAATTTTATCAAAAGGTTATATTATATTTAAATATATTAAATCACTTTAAAGGTATATCTAAAAATCTGAATTTATTTAAGAAAAAAAAAGTACCGGTATATCAAAAATATTAAATTGAGGCATTAAAAGAAAAGTGCAAAACAAAAGAACAAGTCACCTAAAATTGAAAGCCTTACTTTAGTAGACTTTTCTTTCCAACTCCGATATTCATAGAATCATAGGGTATTCCTATTTTTCGTTTGTTGCTTGTAAATTGTAGGTCTCAACGCCACGTTGAGATATTGTATTTGGCTTAATGTAAAAGATCCCAGAAGGATAGGAGTAAGAGATGTATATTTGTTTTTGTTTTTTTTATCACAGCTAACAGGTAATTCTTTAAGTGTTGATAAACTACAGCACTTATGATCCTCAAGGGAGAACTTGCATCAGTAACAATTATAATCATTTGGTAAGTTACTTAAATGTACTTATTAACAGAACACACTGCAACCACTCTATTGCTCAAACAAGAAAAGACCCAACGCAGTGCAGTAATTTTCCTTAAAGGGACACTATACTCACCAGAACAACTACTGCTTATTGCATTTGTTCTGGTGAGTAGAATCATTTCCACTAGGGCTTTTTGCTGTAAACACTGTCTTTTCATAGAAAATGCAGTGTTTATATTACAGCCTAGTGATAACTTCACTGGCCACTCCTCAGATGGCTACTAGGTGCTTCCTGGGGCAGTGTTGCCTAGTGTGCATCACAACATTCAGTGTCTCGACCCTCTGCATGCAGACACTGAACTTTCCTCATAGAGATGCATTGATTTAATTCATCTCTATGAGGAGATGCTGATTGGTCAGTGCTGTGTTTGGCTTGTGCTGGCTCTGCCCCTGATCTACCTCCTTGACAGTCTCAGCCAATCCTATGAGGAAGCACTTTGATTGGCTCAAACCACCACTTCTGATGATATCAGAGGTCAGATCAGTTCAGAGACCGAGGCAGTAGCTCCAGACTGGAATACAAGTACAATTTGCATATATTTAGAGAGGCAAGAGGGGACCAGGGGTCAGAGGGTGGTTTTAACACTATAGGGTCAGGAATACATGTTTGTGTTCCTGACCCTATAGTGTTCCTTTAATTAAAATTGGCTGTGAGATGTTTGGAATTTGACCAATTGTTCTAAACTCTAAGTGGGTTTAATGCCATTTAAGCCAGAACCAAACAGGTGCTAATCTGTATTTATAAAGTTATATCATTTGACAAGTCCCCCTAACATTGTCTGCTGATGTAGAGCAGGGTTGGTAAAGCTTTTTTCTGCCAAAGGCCATTTGGATATTTATAACATCATTCGCGGGCCATACAAAATTATTAACAATTAGCCTGTTACACCTGGTCAGACATTTATTAAACTCACCCCTAATGTGATGGCTGGATCTGCTTCTCTTTGGTGAGGCGTGGGATGTTAGCTGGTACGGTGATGTTGCTACTCGCAACTGCTTTTCCAGATTTGCATCGGTCAGTCTGGAGCACAGTCAACTCTTTGCAATGCTCACTACAGACAACTCACTGACACACACATGGTCACTACTAACAAGATCACTGACACATAAACACACACTGACACAAACACACATACAATGATCCATACCAACATACACTAACATACACACTGACACAAACACACATACAATGACCCATACACACATGCACTAAAACACACTAACACAAACACACATACAATAATCCATACACATACAATAACACACATTGACACAAACACACATACAATGACCCATACACACATACACTAACACACACTGACACAAACACACAAATAATAACCTATATGCACATACACTGACACAAACACACATACAATGACCTATATGCACATACACTAACACACTGACACAAACACACATGCAATGACCATGACACAAAAACACATCAAATAACCCATAAACACATCCACCGACACACACTGACACAAACACACATTTAGTGACTCATAGACACACTCAAATTACAGATCCTCGCTCTGCACAGTCTAATTACCAGCAGCTGCCCTGGATTGTCATTAGGTCTGTAGCTGGGGTGAAGACTTTCAAGTCTCTCTCAAGCTGGAATATGACGAATATGATATCCCGGATGCCTGCACGTCTACTCATTGCAAGGAGCGACTTTGTGATGCCGCTCCTGGCATCTTCCAAGCAATTTGGGTAAAAAATATATACCTTTACAGTGCTTGCAGCTCTCTACTTTCCCCACTTCAGCAGCCCAGCAAACAATTCTCCAGATCCCGGTGGGCTAGTCCGGCCCTGTTCATGGCACGGATGTTCCCCACCCAAATGTAGAGAAAGGCTATGACTGGAGTTCGCTTCTCTTGTGGACTGGAGTATTTAGAGAGATAGTCTCATAATCAGTCTTGGATAGAGTCTTTGGATTCTAGATTATTAAAGAGAAGCTGAATTAAAAGGCCACCAGTCCATGGGCAGACAGAGCTAACTGTTATCAGATTTACTTTATTTTATTATTATGGAGCTGCCTGTGTAGATAGTTCTGAAAAATTAAATATGTACCTCTTTTTGGACTCAACCTTTGGTGATGACTTCCTATTCTCTTTACAACCTGATACAAGGGATTCATAAATATAATTCACTCTCTAATGTTAAAATAAATGTGGACAAAATTAAAATAATGAACAATAAAGTGTCATGGAGGACCAGGAAAACATAGAAACTTAGAATGTGACGGCAGATAAGAGCCATTCTGCCCATCTAATCTGCTCCTTTTTCCTAAATACTTTCATTGATCAAATATATCTAAGATAGCCTTTTTCCTTTCCCATGCATGCTTAAACTCCCTTACTGTGTTACCCTCTATCACTGCAGCTGGAAGGCTATTCCATGCATCCACTACTTATTTTTTTTGTAAATTCTTTATTTAGTTGCTGACAGTCATTTGCATTGTATCATAGCATTTCTGAGGATGGCTTATGCAGAAGACGCTTATTCCATTGTACATTATTTTGAAAGGGCTTGCGCCGAAGCCAATTGTGCAGGTATAAACATACTTTGTCTGTCAGGTTTTTATAGTTTTCATTTTCTATTCAAGAGTTTGGTTTTGTAGGGGTACAGAAAAAGGAGGTGGGGTAACTGTCTTGTTATAGCAGGTTCGTGTCATACCCACGTACATCGTGGGGTTAGGTTTCTAACAACTTTTGTTTTGTTTTGTATGATCATAATCAGAGAACTAGGTCAATCTTGTGTGTCTAGTTTGGTGTTTTTATCGTGCTTTTTGGTTTCCCCTTATGCGTGTGGTGTCTGACAAAGGTGTCAGCCCCGGAGTGCCTCTGTGGGGGTTCTCCTATGTATTTTAGTTTAGTTTGGTTGCGGTAGGGTAGTTGTCCCCATCTTTCTGTTTTAGTGGTCTGTAAAGGTTTGTGTATGGGTGGTGCGCTTGTTCCTATGGCAAGTGGTGTCGTGGTTCCCCGTGGTGGTGTTTCTGTCCCGGTGTATTTAGGGTCTGTTTCTTATGTGGTGTTTCATGGGTTCTTCAGTGGTTCGGTGGCCTGATATTATTTTTAAACCTTTGCCCCTCCAATTTAAGACTATTTCCTTTTGTTGTGGTACTTTTCCTTTTTTTGAAAATGCTTTCCTCCTTTACTGTGTTGATTCCCTTTATATATTTAAATGTTTCTATCAAACCCCCCTGTCTCGTCTTTCCTCCAAGGTATACATGTAAGGATCCTTTAACCTTTCCTGGTAAGTTTTACCCTACAATCCATGAATCAGTTTAGTAGCTCCTCTCTGAACTCTCTCTAAAGTATCAATATCCTTCTGAAGATACGTACTGTGTACAATACTCCAAGTGAGGTCTTACCAGTGCTCTGTACAATGGCATGAGCACCTTCTTTCTACTGCTAATACCTCTCCCTATATAACCAAGCATTCTGCTAGCATTTCCTGCTGCTCTATTACATTGTCTGCCTACCTTTAAGTCATATGAAATAATTACTCCTACATCCTTTTCCTCAGATGTTGAGGTTAGGACAGTATCAAATATTCTATACTCTGCCCTTGGGTTTTTTACGCACAAGCTGCATTATCTTGCACTTATCCACATTAAATGTCAGTTACCACAGCTCTGACAGTTTTTCTACTTTACCTAAATTATCTGCCATTTGGCTTATTGCTCCTGGAACATCAACCATGTTGCAAATATTTGTATCATCAGCAAAAATGCAAGTGGGCCTCTTGATTCATATACTACCTTGGCATCAACATTTCCTACCTTTACAAAATACATTTCCATCCTTTGTTCATACATAAAAAATGAATTTGCCCTATTTAGGTGACAAATTGTATTATTATTATTATTATTAGTAATAGTAGTAATAATAATAATAATAATAATACTATAATACATCTATTTCACACCTACCTAAACCTTTAGAGAAAAATAATTTAACATTTAATTTATTTTCTACTCATTTGGCCTTATTCCCAATTTTATGTAGAGACATTTACCTGCCACCCTGGGCCGGATTAACATAGGGGCTGATGGAGCTGCAGCTCGGGCCCAGGCCCATGGTAAAGGCCCATTGATTTTTTTTAAAAAAATTTCAATTTTTTTAAATTAATTTTTTTTACTTTTTTTTTTTTTTTTTAAACACACTACTCTTAGGGTTGTTCACCTGGCTGGTATTTATTTGAGGCTGCCTGGTCGGCGGTGATATTGTAGTAATATTGGCAATACAAATGTGGTTTTTTTTCCTCAGAATAAACAGAGATTACTCTGCAATACCATTACCGGCCAGTAGGGATCGCTGTGTGTGTGAGGGGACATGGGGACACAGACACACATGTGACACTGAGACACTTGGGGACACTGGGAGACATGGGGACACAGACATTAGGGACAAAATGTCCCCAAGTGTCTCAGTATCCCCATGTCTCCCAGTGTCCCAGGTGTCTCAGTGTCCCCATGTTTCCCAGTGTCCCCAGTGTCTCAGTGTTCCCATGTCTCCCAGTGTACCTAGTGTCTGAGTGCCCATGTCTCCCAGTGTCCCCATGTCTCCCAGTGTCCCCATGTCTCTCAGTGTCCCTGGGAGACATGGGGACACTGGGAGACATGGGGCACTGAGACACTGATACATAGTCTCAGTGTCCCCCAGTGTCCCCAAGTGTCTCAGTGTCCCCATGTCTCACAGTGTCCCCTAGTGACATGGGGACACTGAGAGACATGGGGACACTGACACTAGGGGACACTGTATGACAGGGAGACACTGGGAGCAATCCATCTATACAGCAGAGTCAAACTAAGTAGTTTTTTTGGTAATTTCACAGAATTTTCTCTATCACTCCTTCCTTGTGATTTACATCATGTGATGTCACGCATAAATAATTAGCTATGCAAATTAGTAAGGCCTGTATTTTTTTTTCCAAGAAAGGTGGCAGCCCTAACTACTCTTCACATACTCTTGCTTAAGAGGGATATATGGAAAAAAAACTTGTGTGGACTAGCTGAAATGAAATGAGTTAAGGTAATGCTGACTTTGGGCTCTCTAACACTGTGGCATGTTCCCTTTCTTCTTCACTGACTACATCCATCGTTTCTATGTCTCAGACTGCATACCAGGAGCTTCTGTCTGTAAGAAGGTAAGGAGATAAGTGGACATGTGAGTGCTAGGGGACAGTCCTTAGAAAGCATGGAGCGAACGCAGCATTGGACGCATTTATGCCAGGCTCAGGATGCTGTTGTCCAGCATGCATGAATGACAGACTAGCCTTCCAATTCTTTGGGCAGACACACCTCCTTTTTGGGCATGTTCGGCCATTTCGGAAGTACTGGTTACATGATCCTCGTCAGTGGCCCACCCTTTTACACTGCCTATTGAGTTCCTGCTTCACTGGACACTGCTGTTAGGAGGTATGGATTTACTTGAAATATGAAAACATGAATTAGAGAGAGATTAGCATATTAGAAGAGAATCTGAGGTTTTTTTTTATAGCTGCATCCTATGAGTTTCCCTCCGGCAACTTCTCCACCAGATACATAAAGCTTGAGAAGTATGACTGTTTTCGTGTTTTTGGTCGATAAGATTCTGTACTTAGGCCCCTCATAATTGTCAGCACCAGGCCCACTGGGCTCTTAATCTGGCCCTGCTGCCACCTATCAGAGGGACACTGGTCAGAAATATTTAGAATTACTCATTCAACAACCAGTAGTACCATCATATGAGAAAACAAAACCTGAATGTAATTAACTCATTTCTACACCACTCTTTTAACAAACATAAAATGTTCTCCATAAATCCAATCTCTGCTGGAGATGCCAGAAGGAGATAGATACTCCATCCACACTTTAGACTACAGGGAGTGCAGAATTATTAGGCAAATGAGTATTTTGACCACATCATCCTCTTTATGCATGTTGTCTTACTCCAAGCTGTATAGGCTCGAAAAGCCTACTACCAATTAAGCATATTAGGTGATGTGCATCTCTGTAATGAGAAGGGGTGTGGTCTAATGACATCAACACCCTATATCAGGTGTGCATAATTATTAGGCAACTTCCTTTCCTTTGGCAAAATGGGTCAAAAGAAGGACTTGACAGGCTCAGAAAAGTCAAAAATAGTGAGATATCTTGCAGAGGGATGCAGCACTCTTAAAATTGCAAAGCTTCTGAAGCGTGATCATCGAACAATCAAGCGTTTCATTCAAAATAGTCAACAGGGTCGCAAGAAGCGTGTGGAAAAACCAAGGCGCAAAATAACTGCCCATGAACTGAGAAAAGTCAAGCGTGCAGCTGCCACGATGCCACTTGCCACCAGTTTGGCCATATTTCAGAGCTGCAACATCACTGGAGTGCCCAAAAGCACAAGGTGTGCAATACTCAGAGACATGGCCAAGGTAAGAAAGGCTGAAAGACGACCACCACTGAACAAGACACACAAGCTGAAACGTCAAGACTGGGCCAAGAAATATCTCAAGACTGATTTTTCTAAGGTTTTATGGACTGATGAAATGAGAGTGAGTCTTGATGGGCCAGATGGATGGGCCCGTGGCTGGATTGGTAAAGGGCAGAGAGCTCCAGTCCGACTCAGAGCCAGCAAGGTGGAGGTGGAGTACTGGTTTGGGCTGGTATCATCAAAGATGAGCTTGTGGGGCCTTTTCGGGTTGAGGATGGAGTCAAGCTCAACTCCCAGTCCTACTGCCAGTTCCTGAAGACACCTTCTTCAAGCAGTGGTACAGGAAGAAGTCTGCATCCTTCAAGAAAAACATGATTTTCATGCAGGACAATGCTCCATCACACGCGTCCAAGTACTCCACAGCGTGGCTGGCAAGAAAGGGTATAAAAGAAGAAAATCTAATGACATGGCCTCCTTGTTCACCTGATCTGAACCCCATTGAGAACCTGTGGTCCATCATCAAATGTGAGATTTACAAGGAGGGAAAACAGTACACCTCTCTGAACAGTGTCTGGGAGGCTGTGGTTGCTGCTGCACGCAATGTTGATGGTGAACAGATCAAAACACTGACAGAATCCATGGATGGCAGGCTTTTGAGTGTCCTTGCAAAGAAAGGTGGCTATATTGGTCACTGATTTGTTTTTGTTTTGTTTTTGAATGTCAGAAATGTATATTTGTGAATGTTGAGATGTTATATTGGTTTCACTGGTAATAATAAATAATTGAAATGGGTATATATTTGTTTTTTGTTAAGTTGCCTAATAATTATGCACAGTAATAGTCACCTGCACACACAGATATCCCCCAACATAGCTAAAACTAAAAACAAACTAAAAACTACTTCCAAAAATATTCAGCTTTGATATTAATGAGTTTTTTGGGTTCATTGAGAACATGGTTGTTGTTCAATAATAAAATTAATCATCAAAAATACAACTTGCCTAATAATTCTGCACTCCCTGTAAATGGAATCCTGAGCAATGGAATGACAACGAACAACTCAATAGAAAAACATAATGTTATGCATTTGGAAAATGATAATTAACATAACGATAAATGTTTAAATGTCCACAGTCACAAAAGATGGCTGAAATGGCTAGCAAGATTAATTCACAAAAAATAAGCGAAATAAAAAGGAGCAAGATATAATGTTACTTCTCTGAAAAATCTAAAGTATGGATTTAAAATTTTGAACATAATTTAAGAAAATGCATGATTAAATGCAATATTTTTAGACAAATTAATGGAAAAGTTTAGACTGGGGTGAGCCTTCTCACAAGTGATGTGATAACTATTCATAAATTACCGAAGGGCAAAAGAAAGGTGATCTCTTTGTACATAGGGTTCTAAAGCAGTCACTGTGTCAGGGGCATCTTCTAAGATCAGAGGAAAATAATTTTTTATGTTCGGCTTCGGAAATGGTTTATTACATTAAGTGCCTTTAAGATCTATAATTCATAACCAAATAAAGCTGTGTTGGCATATTATACAGTACTGTGCAGCTATATAAAATATTTAAAGAAAATTCATAGTGTATAAATCAAAGCAACAACCAGTTTGTGTAATGAAAGATCCAAAATCCTATTTTAAAGTGTGCAATCTTGTATATCAGTGCAGTAAATAATGTTTAAATATTATTTTACACATTGGTAATATAAAATGTTTTAATGCTTACATATTTATTATGGAGATTAAGAAAACCTAATATTACAAATATTCCAAACTGGTCCAACAATGCTAATTACATTGCCTTACAACGATACTTGTTTACCTTTGACTGTTGTTTGGTCTATATATAAAATTTCATTCTATATCTGCATCTCAATGTTCTAAATTAGAACACTATGCACATAATGAGAGCAATTTTCCAGAGGGTTGAATACAGTAGTAATTCTCTAGCGGGTGCTTTATTAGCAATTTAGGAAATGCGTAATCTACATATCATCAATCCATGCCAAAGGAGAGTTACTATATTTTTAATTTATGGTAGGATTACAAATAAATAATTCAATTTAAATTATATCTGACCATTATTTTACCGCATTTCTTTCTCAAACTCTACCTGTTATTTTATTTTCTAAACTGACAAAAGTATTTTTTAACGTTTTTATTTAGTTTTTTTATACTTATTCCCCAATTGCTATATCAGAATCTGACTAGTCTCCTTCCAAATTGAGTTGACTCAACATTTAAAAATGTTTATATATGTATATATATATAGTAGTGCATATTGGATTTTATATATATATATATATATATTTTTTTATTTTATTTTTTTTTTGTACAACCAATGCAGATTACTGATGGCTCAAAATGGATATATTTAATCCAATGATGTTAAATCAGCAGATATAGTGGAGACTCATCTCAAATAAGTTGAAGACAAAGCAGGATGCTATCTCCAAGGTGATCGAAAAAAATATATTTATATATATTCCTATTTAGTGAGTTGTGAGAATAGAGCTGTGCTTAAATGTTCTTTCTAGGTTATGTAACCTCTATAACATGACATGGTAGTTGTGTAAATTATGTTTGTGTTTTTTGGTTTTTTTTTAATGCAACCGTAGCTTCATCACTTGTGTGGACATTTCCCATATATACCACACCCAATAAGTATAAATTAATATCAGTGAAATAGTGGTACCCTATTCATTTAATAATGTTATATTTTCTGTTTTGCATATAATTTGGAACAAGGCAACTGAAATCCTGATATAAACAGGGTAAGTAAATATAAACGGTCCACAGGTACACTTATATTATTATGTAACAACTTGACACCATTACATAGCAGCAGCTATAAGACTACGACCTGTATCGGTGCTGTCACATGACGTAATATAGTCCCTTATTTTGCTTCCAACCTCAGTGGTCCAACTTTTGCATGCAAGATGCACATACACAACTTGGGCAAAAGCAGAAAAAATTCAGCGCTTGTACAATACTGATATAGTCCAAAGGCGGCTCAATCACCAAAAACGGAGTCTCTCTTGTCTGATAGAGGGTAGGATAACACAGAAAAAGAAGGTGGAGCACCTGAAGTGTCCCTTTCAGAGAGCTTAAATACAACTCTGACTTGCACCTGTGTGGAATGATCCCTGTCTATGGATATATTGTGGTACAGATTCTTCAAGTTTTCCTTATAGCGATGGGTGTCCTCAGAAAAAATA